GAAGCATGGGAGACTGAGTGGAAAAAGAAAATTTGAAGGTGGTTGATTGGATTATGTGGATTAGAGGGAAGAGAAGCTGAACGAAGTTTTAATCAGGTTTTAATTTAACTTAATTACCAACTCTTACTCTTGATTAAATACATATTTATTATATAACCAGTCTGTACTAGATATTAAGAACTGCCCCTGAGCTTGAAAGAATTTAAAGTTCATCTGTCACACTCCTTTGCCTCTGCTTTAAATATTGATGACCCTCAGGCTTTAGCTTAAGGCTCTTTTCTGCATGTAACTTGAGTGATTTTATCCAACTCTTATGAATTCAACCACCACTTACAGGGTGATGACTCTTAAATTCACTTGTCTCCAATCAAGATTGTTCAGCTGTGACCCTGGGACCATATATGCAATGACCTGCTGGGGAATTCCATGGTGTGACTCACAGGTGCTTCCTACTCAACATGGCCAAACCAAAACGTATCAGTTTCTTTTTCTCTTCTCATTGTTCCTAGTTCAGTGACTGGTGCCACTGTTCAAGTAATAAATGTAAGAACAAGAACAGCAATAATCACCAAAGTAGTAATAGTAGCAGCTAACATTAAATGAGCACTTCTTTTGTTCTGAGCATTTTTGCACATTATTGCATTTGACCCTCATAATAATACTGTTGTGAAATAATAGAAAAAATATATTTGTCTCTGTCCCCTCTTCCTGACACAGAGCTAAAAACCTTGTGATTTCCTAAATGATGAGAACACTATGAGCATTTTTTGTTCTAATGAGGTGACTCTGAGTGGATCCCTGGTTGGAGGCTGGTTACCAGAAACATGGTAGATACCATGATAAGGAATTTTCAGCCCCATCCCTATCCCTCAGAGAAGGGAGAGGGATTGAAAATAGAATTAATATTCGATCATGCCTATGTGGAGAAGCCTCCATAAAATCTCAGTAGTATGGAATTTGGAGAGCATCCAGGTTGGTGAACATATTAGTAACTTAAATACTACTCAGGTCCAGACAGCTTCACTGGTGAATTCTACCAAAGTTTAAACAAGAATTAGCTTCAACTCTCCTTAAACTCTTCCTAACAATAGAAGAGAAGGGAATACTCCACAACTCGTTATATGAGGTCAGTATTACCCTGATACCAAAGCCAGATAAATACATTGCAAGAAAAGAAAACTGCAGAACCGCATCCCTTATGACTATAGATGTCAAAATCCTCAGCAAAATACTAACTGAATCTAACAGAATAGAAACAGGATTACACACCAAAACCAAGCTGGGATTTAAGCCAACAATATAAAATTGATTCAAACTCTGAAAATCAATCAATGTAATACATCATATTGATAGAATAAAAGACAAAAGCCACACTATAATGTCAATAGACACAGAAAAAAGCACATGACAAAATCCAACTTTTCATGATTAAAAACACTCAACAAGCAGGGAATAGATGGGAACTTCCTCAACCTACCAAAGGGCATCTGTAGAAAGCCCATATCATTCCTAATGGTGAAAGACTGAAAGCTTTCCCTATATGATGAAACTAAACAAGTATGTCTGACATCAACACTTGTATTCAATATTTTAGTCAGGCAAGAAAGACAAATAAAAAGCATCCATCTTGGGATGGAAGAAGTAAAACTGTTTCTATTCACAGATGACATGATCTTATATATAGGAAATCATAAAAATCCATTAAAAACTGTTAGAATTAATAAATGAATACAGCAAGGTTGCAGGATGCAAGATCAATACATAAAATTTAATCATGTTTCTACAGATTTGTAATGAACAATTCAAAAATAAAATTAAGAAAACAATGTCACTTAGCATCAAAAAATACTTGGGAATAAATTTCACAAAGAAGTGCAAGCTTGTAGATGCAAAACTACAAGACATTAGTTAAGAAATTAAAGGTTTAAATAGGTGGAAAACATCCCATATTCATTGTTGGAACATTTAATTTTGTTAAAATAACAACAGTCTCCAGGTTGATCTACAACTGGATTTTGGTAGAAATTAACATGTTGATCCCAAAACTAAAATGAAAACACAAATGATCCCAAATAGCCAAAACACCTTGAAAAGGAATAAAGAATAGAGAAAAGAAGAATAAAGTTACAGGACTCACATTTTCTCTATTTCAAAACTTACTACAAAACTACAATAATCAAGACAAGGTTTAACTGGTTAAGGATAGACATATAAATCAGTGGTATAGAATTGGTACCAAGAAATAAACTCTTATGTTAATGGTCAATTGATTCTTGACAAGGGTGCCATGATACTGTGATTTATACTAAGAAATATATATTTGGTTTTCACCCCTGTTCCTGACATAGAGTATATAAATTCCTTGTAATTTCCTAAGTGATAAGAGAGATGAAAGTGTCTTTTGGTATCCTTGACAAGCTCCTTTCAGCCCTGAATTAATGAGGTGACTCTTAGAAAGCCTCTAAGCTGGTTGCCATAGTAATGAACCCTATAATTATAAGGGTGGGATATTCAGCTCCTCCTATATCTTCTGATAGGGGAGAGGGGATGGAGATAGACTTGATCACTACAGACAATGATCTTATCAATTATGCCTATTAAAGCATGAAGCATGCCAAGGCTGTGCTGCACCCCAAACTCCACTGGGACAGAAGCTCCTGTGTTCTGGACCCTTCAGAACCCTGCCCTGTGTATCTCTTCACATGGCAGTTCATTCATATCTTTTAGTATCTTTTGTAATAAACTGGTAATCTAATAAGTAAACTGGTTTCCTGACTTCTGTGAGCTGCTCTAGCAAATTAATCTAACCCAAGGAGGGGCTCTTGGAAACTTCCGATCTATAGCTAGTGGATCAGAAGCACCAATAACAACCTAAACTTGTCATTGGCCTCCAGAGTGGTATGTGTGTGTGTGTGTGTGTGTGCATCAGTGTTGTGGGTGTGAACTCTTAACCTGTGTGATCTGATGTTAACTTCAGGTAGGTAGTATCAGAATGCAATTAAATTATAGGACACAGAGCTGGTGTCACAGAATTATTTGATGTGGGAAAAAACCCACTATCCAGTCATCAAAGTTTTCATTATGAGTAGTGCTGTGAGTAGAGAGAAAGAGATACACAGGAGAGTTTTTCCTCTTTACAGGTACTAAGACAACTGAATGGGGGTAAGAATTATCTCTTCAACAGATGGCACTGGGACAACTGGTTATTTATATGCAAACAGATGAAAGTAGGTCCTTATATCATACCATACATAAATATTAACTCAAATGATCATAGATGTAAATAAAACTAAAGCTCTTAAGAGAAAACACAAGATTAATCTCAGAGATCATGGGTTAGTCAACGGTTTTTAGATATGACACCAAAAGCATAATTGATAAATGATTGAAAAGCTGGACTTCATCAAAACTGAAAAATTTTTGCTGCTAATATCATCAAGAAGGTTAAAAACAGCTCACAGTGTGGGAGAAAATACTTGCAAACCATATATCTGATAAAGTGCTTGAATCTAGAATACATTAGTAACTCATAACTCAATAATAAAAAGACAAATAACTAAATTAAAAATAAACAAAGGACTTAGACAATGTTCCAAAAAAGATACACACATGGCTAACAAGCACATCTGAAACTAATGATATATTAACTATATATTAACTAATGGAATTTAAATAAGATAAGTTAAAAGAAAGAAAAAGAAAAGATGCTAAACATCATTACTTATTAGGGAAATGGAAATCAAAGTCACAGGGAGGTAATACTTCACACCCACTGGGATGACTATCAGCAAAATGACAGATAATGACAACTGTTGTGCAGGATGTGGAGAAATTAGGACCCTCATTCCTTACTGGTGGTAATGTAAAATGGTTTGGAAAACACTACAGCAGCTCATCAAATTGTTAAACAACAGCAATTGCACTCTTAGGTGTATATATAAGTGAAATGAAAATATATGCCAACACAAAACTTGTTCAAGAATGTTCACAGTGGCATTAGCAACAGCCAAAAAATGGAAAATATTTTAAATGTCCAACAACTGATGAACGGATAAACATGTGGTGTATCCATGCAATGGAATATTATTTGACAGTAAAAAGGAATGAAGGTCTGATGCATGCCACAATGTGGATGAACCTTAAAAACATTATGCTAAGTGAAAGAAGCTAGTCATAGAAAACCACATATTATATGTTTCCATTTATATGAAAAGCCAGAATAGACAATTCTATAGAGTTAGAAAGTAGATTAGTGGTTGCATTTGGCTGAAGGGAGTGGGGGTGGAATGGGTTGGGGAGAAATGGACTGGTAATAGATATGGGGTTTCTTTTTAGTGTGATGAAAATGTTCTAAAATTTGACAGTGGTAATTGTTGCTCAACCCTGTGAATGTTATAAAAAACACTTGTATACTTTTAAACAGGTGAATTTTTATCATATATGAAGTATATCTCAATAAAGATGTTAAAAGTAAAGAATAAGCTAGTTCCTGGCATATGGTAAGCATTTAATAATGTAAACTATGAAAACTATGAAATTAAAAAAATGTGTCAAGCATAATTCTTTGAACAGTTCCCCACTTCTCTACAGTGGTGAAGTAGAGGTTTTGTCAGAAATGACTGACAGCCTGAGAATATGGGGAAAAGGTGGTGGCAATGACAGAAGACCTCTGGCAAGAAAGCAAATTTAGAGATGGGGGAGGAATAAGGATTCCTTTTGGGGGAATGTTGGATGTTCAAGTTGATCCATCTACTGAAGATTAGTATGAAAGACAAGGATTTTATCCTCATAACAGGAAAATTTTGGTTAAGCAAATATAAAATCTTGCTGCAGTGACAATCACCTGAGAGTTTCCCTTCCTAATGAGTTTGGGGGTTGGTGAGCCAATTGATATATTAAAACATCATATATAGTGAAGGGATAGATTGGATAGTAATGTTTAAGTAATTTTTAAAAAGTTTTTAAAAAGTAATATGGTTATTTAAAATGGTTTCTTATAGGTGTCTTCAGAAGACATATCATTCACAACTCCCATCTCTTGGTGTCATTCTCATATTCATGAATGAAGATCTGTCCATTATACAACGGGCCATCACTAGTGTCATCAACCGCACCCCCTCTCATTTGTTAAAGGAGATCATCTTGGTGGATGATTTTAGCTCAAATGGTGAGCAACTTGATCAAAGAATAATAGTTTATTGACTGCTGAGCTGGAAAAGGGTTTTATCTTAGAGTTTAGGACACTTTAGGCTCCTCATATAGTGAAGAGAAAGGGATCATTTATTGAGGCCATATGTGCCGGACACATTAATCTTCACAAAGTCAAGGCAGAGGATCATCATCTTGATTACATAGATGGGGAAGCTAAGACACAGAGAAATAGATCACATAATGTGCCCAAATTGCATAGTGAGTTAATGGTGGCGCTGACTCAAGTCCGGGACTGAGTGACTACGAAGCCTTTCTGTGCACCATGATGGAGACCTGAGGGAGTGAACTGGCGTCCAAAATTAGACCTCAGATACCAAGAAGGGATTCAGAACTGTTCCCTATAAGGAAAAGCAATCTTCCTGTGTAATTAAACCCAGAGAAAATGGAGCTTTGGATGCTGAGACTCTTCACAGTGGCAATGTTTCTTGCTCATAGTATGCCCCCTCCCCATCCCGATCTAGTTCACCCAGGGGGGACATGAAGAATTGGGAGATAGTGGGCAAAACATGAATGTTGGTAATAATAACTATCTCATAAACTGTAAGGAGAGTTACATGAGATAATCATGGCAGCTAACATTGTTCCAAGCACCTTATGTATGTTAACTATTTTAATCATTACAATAACCTATGAGGAAGAACTATGTTTTGGCCATTTTACAGATGCAAAAACCTAAGGCATAGTCTGGTTAAGGAATTTGCTGAATATTGCAATGCTGGTAAGTGACAAAATTGAGATTTGCAGAGTCCAGAGCCCTATCTCTAACCACTATGTTCACTGATATAATACATAGGTAATGAATAGTATTTAGCACATAGTAACCTCTCAGCCAGTGTTAGCTCTTAGTTTTTTAAATTTTGAAGAAACTAGAACAAAGTCACAGATTTGGGCTAGCAATAAGGAAGAAATTTCTGAGAGTAAGGACAGTGGAGTGGCTGCTCATGGGAAGCAGAATTTCTTCCTTCTCTGGGGTATCTTTAAGTACGAGACAGGTACTTATTGCAGATTCAAATTAGGGGTAATATATATATATATTTATTATCAAATTAGGGGCAGTTTGACCTAAAAGGAAGAGGCAAATGACCTCTAAACTTTCCTTTTTGGATTTCCAGACACTAAAAATATGTGAAAAGGATTTCATGTTTTAAATACCTTCCTTTCTTGTCATTTCAATATAAATGCACAAAAAAATAAGAAGGTACAGTTCTTAAGTAGAATTCCACTGAAAACCAAAGAAAAGAAAATGGCTGACTTCATTCCTTTCTGGGCAGGCACACCTAGTCTTTGAGTAGGAAATAAGAACTTGATTAGAAAGACCTCTGTCCTCGACATCTGGACACACCCTGGCTCCACTCCCTGTCTCTGTGAGATGATCCGAGGCAAGCCGTCTCACCTGTCTGAGACTCAACTTTTTCATGGGGCAAATGTAAGGACTGAGCTGGGGGATGCCTGAAATATCATTTCCTGTGGGAAAAAAAAATCAATGGCTCTTTAATTCCACATTCCATGAAGAGTAGATAAGAATTAATTCAAGATTTCTACCTATGGAACAATGAAATCAAAATATACAAGATTACAAACATAGGTAGACACATAAAGAGAAGTCAAGCAAAACTCTGGATCGTTCCAAACCATTCCCTTATCATATAACACATCTCTCTCACTTTGGTCTGGAACCCATTATGCTTTTCATAGAGATAATGTGTGAATTGGCAAAGAAGAGGGGACTGTTAGTTCTTCTTTGACTGGTGTCCCTGGGACAGGGATTAACTTCTCTCTCATTAACCATAAAATATCAACTAGATTGGTCCTACACTGAACAGAACTTAAAAATCTGTTTTGTGTTAAATTGAAGAAAATAAATGGAAGCCTACCACATATGCCACAAGAGAAACTTACTGTTCATTTGACTTTGTGGGGCAAGTAATTCAACTGCTCCATGTCTCCACTTCCTCACCTGTAATATGGGGGAAATAATAGTGTTTACCCGATAGGACAATTTTGAGGATTAAATAAGACATGTAAAGTCCTCAACACAGGACTTGTTCCCAATAAATGTTAACTAGTGTTATTACTCCTTGTTTACCTCAGTATCATTTGTAGTACTGTTGAAATGCCATAACTTGATTATGTCCCTGTCCTTTCCCCCCTAGATATGAAGCTTCATTTGTATCAGGTTTCAAGTGTCAACAGAGCTAATCCAACTATTTCAGAAATTGTATTAATATATGTGGGATTCTATATATTCTCTCCAATTTTAGGCAAATTTTATAACTAACAACTATTTATTTTGTACCAAAAACGAAGCACTATGCAAGGAAGATTTCAAGAAGTTCCCATATTAATTTATGAGGCAAGACATACATCTGGAAAGATATTTCAATATATGAAGAATGGTGTGTCAAATTGAGTGAGCTGTCAGTGAGTGCAAGAAAGCCGGGAGAAATGGCTGGGATGAACTAGAGAGGTTTCCTGGAGGAGGAGGACTTGGATTGGGACTTGAAAATTTGGTAGGATTTAGAAAAGCAAAGAAAACAATGGAAGACTGGGTGTGTGCATGTGGGTGTGGGGGATAGAGAGTGATGAAAAGAATGATATGAGAAAATCTGCAGAAGCCAGAAGCACCCTGAGCTGAGCATCCTGGAATAAAGAGTTTGGGGGCAAAGAGGACCAGTGGGAGAGCAAGGCTGAGAAAGGAGCATAAGTTTACTTTGGAAGATCCACTGAAGGGTCTTTAATTCTTGTGCTGGACTGTAGGCGTTATTTCTGAGAGGATGACTCAGAATCTACAACTCATAAAATCTTGGAATAGGGGGGATCCTGGCATATTATTCAGCCTTTGTTTCTAAGTCGAGGAAACAGAGATCCCCAAATGGGAAGTGACACAGAATTAGATAGTGAGGGAGGTTGAATTATACACTAGATATCTGGGGTCTATGGCAAACTTTTTTCTTTTTTCCCCACCATTTTGGTTCACACAGTTTATTTAAGAACTCATACAGAATACTCAAGATAAATGATTTTTAATCCTCATCTTTAATTCTCTTCTTTATCCCGGTTAATCTGGAAGTAATGTAATTCCTAATTATGCTGCTAACAACTAGGTACAACCAACCACACAGATTATTCTTCATATTTCTTGGTGAGATTTTTCTAATGCCTTTTAGGAAAAGGTACCTCAGAAGTTATGGTAATCCTGCTCTTGCTCTTCTCAATGATTATAACACCCCTACCAGGATTCCCAGGTTTTCCATTCACTTTGATTTTTTTTCTTGAAGAAATTGCTAAAAAAATAGGCAGAATCCATGATTCTTCTATAAGGTGGGTGCCATCAAGGGTGAACTTCAGAACCTGCTCCCTCCCCCCACTTTGCCACAAGCCTTTTCAGGGGCACCATGGTGGCAGAAGAAGAAAAAAACATGGCAACTCCTGATTGCTTCCTGAAAGTAGTGACTGGGTAAGTGTAGGGACTTTCCAGCTTGGTTTCTCACAGTTGGAGCAAAAAGCGTTCAGATCCACTGGCTCTCTTTAAAACCTTCAGTTATTGAGTCAGTCTTCCTGGAGTGCAGCTGGGAAAGTTCTAACATAGGGCAAATTTTTGTGCCACAGTCATGTAGGTATTGCTTCCAGATCTTGGTCATTCCAGCACTCACAAATCTACTCTTCTTCTGAGAGAGGAACCAGCAAGAATTTCATCTCTGGGCCCTGGGAAGAGAGGGATAGAGAGAGATCATGATAAGTGCAACCAAGTACATACATAGTTCTTGAGGCAGCATGGCATGGTGGTTAGACACAACATGGGCTCACATCTGGGGTATGCCACTTATTGGATGTGTAACTTGGACAAGTTTCTTAATCTCTCTGTGCCTCAGTTTTTTTTTTTTTTTTTGGTCTGTAAAGTGAGGATACTAAAATACCTACCTTATAGGATAATTTGAAATTTAAATAAATTAATGTTATCAATGGAAAACTGAGTCACTTGGTTAGATATTTTAAACACTGCTTAGTGATTTGCATGCAAGTTTTTCTCATACATATGAGGAAGTCAACTGGTAGGCTGAGTCAAAGAACAAATTTATAGACAGGCCTTATAAAAGACAGGGGAAAGAGGGAAGAAAAAAATGTAAACAATCTGGGAATAGTGAATCCTGTTTGCATAATTTAGGGGACAAATTCATTAGCTAGAAGCTGGAAAAGTGATTAGCCTGGGCATTCTGTCCAAAACTGGTCCTTGAGGAGGCCAAGTAGAAATATGTAAAACAAGACAAAACAGTTTCAGTTGTTTATGGATTCTCCAGAAAATCTTGAGAGTTTAGCCATGGGGAAGACATTCCAGGCTGTCTCCACAATGTCTGTTCATCAGCACCTCTACCTTAGCTAGGTCAGGTCTATCTACTCATTCTTGTGAGAATTCTCAATACACATAAAGCTTATATAACAATCCTTGTTACATGGTAAGCTGTATGATTATTCTAAGGTAGTTAAACTTCAAGGGAAATGAGATTAGGAATGGAGCATTAAGACTGAGGATAGAATGGAGAAAAGTAGGTGCAGGGGAAACACTACTTATTTCTCAGTCAAGATGGTAGAATTGCTCATCCTAAATTGGAGGTAGTCCAACCACTACTATATAATAGTATGAAATTTCTACACCACATTGATTATTGCACTCAGAATTTCTATAGGTGCGCATTTGGTTGGCAGGAGAACTAAAGGCATACTTGGATGAGAAGATTAAACTTTACAACCGGAAGTATCCAGGACTACTAAAAATAATTCGGCATATGAAGAGAAAGGGTCTTGCTCAAGCACACAACACTGGCAGGAAAGTGGCTACAGCTGATGTGATTGCCATCTTGGATGCTCATGTTGAAGTGAACATTGGGTGGTAAGGCTCCAGGAAGTTTCTTCTCCTAAGAAAGGGGGGGGAAAGGAGATACTGAAAATGTACTACATACGAGATATTATGGAAATAGGGAAAGATAGCACCAGACTTCGAACAAAGAAAAGATCCAAAGACAGAGTGTTTTACTCAGGGATTTGTAACACTAAACTACTAAAGAAGTAGTAGTTTAGTGTTAAGAAAAACAACAACAACAACAACAACAACAACAACAACAAAAACAACAAAAAACAATGGGCTTGGAGTGTTGACAACTGGATTCTGACCCTGACTTTGCCAAACAACTTTGTGACTTTGAATAAGTCACATTTAACTAGACATCTATGTCCTTAACTATAAAATGAGGAAATTATCTTTTGATGATTCCTAAGGTTTTTCTCAGCCCTGAAATTACATGATGCAAAGCAAGGTGTGTTCTTTGGAGAATCAAATAGTAAAGAGACATCATTTTGGAAACAGGGAGACTCAAAGAGCTAATGTAAATTTAGGCAGAATACAAATAGTCCTGTTCATAATGACTTGAGAGTGGTGTTTGGGTACCAATTCCAAATCTGTTCTTGACATATCTGTTCTTTTCATATCCTGAAAACTGCAGAGTCTCTGCACTCTGGAGTATCCTACTCAGAGCTCAGCACAGCATAAATGAAAAAGGTGCTCAATGTCAGGGCAAGGTGCTTGAAGAAGTTTTGTTTGCTTGCTTCTTCTACTTACTTTCGTATCCAATCTGGGTTTGTTACACACTCTTCTTCTAGGGCGGAGCCCATTTTGGCTCGGATTCAGGAAGACCACACTGTAATTGTGTCTCCTGTGTTTGACAATATTCATTTTGACACCTTTGAACTGGAAAAGTATGCACTGGCAGTTGATGGCTTTAACTGGGAACTATGGTGCCGCTATGATCCACTGCCAAAGGCCTGGTTTGATCTGCATGATGCCACCACTCCAGTGAAGTAAGTCTGAGATTTAGGGACCTTGATTAGAACATGGGAAATCAGGAATGGATGGTGTGGGTTTTGTTTATCTTTTATGGTACTGATGAGAGTGGGTGGGAGAAATGGAGGAGATGGAGTGAAGGACAGAGGATAGAGAAAAAATTATAGGCACTTTAGACTATCTAAGGGCTTTCAAACAAAAACCAAAGTATATAATGTTTAAAAAAACATTTGAGGCATTTTAAGAATTTTCAGGCTATGAAGTAGGGATATGAAGATGAAAAAGGCATAATTTCATTATAATTTGAGAAGGACTATGGCAGGATGAGTGTGAAGGAAGACTACATGTACTTAGTTCAGCCTGAGGATTTAGAGAAAGACTTCAGAATAAGAAGAGGCTTGAATAGACCTTTGAAAGCCAAATCATCCTTGGCTTCCTACCCCTCATCACCATCCTGACCCATTTCTCTCATCAAGAGGTTAGCAACTCTCTTACTATGTGTTCTATAGGAGTCCTTCCATCATGGGCATCCTGGCTGCCAACAGGATCTTTTTGGAAGAGATCAGATCTCTGGATGGTGGGATGCTGGTCTATGGAGGAGAGAACACGGAGCTTAGCTTGAGAGTGGGTACATTTTCTTCTCATTATGAGAAAAAGCAGAGGGGGAAATAATTGGAGAGTAGTATGGTCTTTGGAATTCTGGAACAAGGCTGAATGTCATTGGCTCAAGAGATGGACACATTATCATGTTCCTGAGTCACTAGGACTAGGCAGTAAAACTTCTGGAGTGGAACTTTCTACTATAGGTTTATATAATCTGGGAGATACGGATGGAAAGAGGTATAATTGAGGCTCAGCAGATAGTACTCTTATTTACCTTAAGGGAAATAAGCATTCCAAGCATTTTTCCAAGCATCTCCTAGATCTCATGCATAAAATATCCCTCCTATAGTATTCCTTTTGCAGCTTCTGTATAATCCACAATCCTTTGTTAAAAGGCCTTGCCCCTTGGGCTTGTGATTGTTCTTATTAATTTACCTTTCTTTCATCTTCCAGACTAAGGCTGAACTTTAAAAAAGGCAGCATAAGTTAGTGAGAATTACATGAGTATTAGAAAAAGAGAGGCTTAAGTCCAAATCCTACTCTACCACTTGAAAGTTTGTGTTATCTTGGGCAGATAGAAGCTCTCTAAGCCATACCTACTACATCGAGCACCTAGCATGCTGAATGACATGTGACTTATGCTCATAAATGGTTAATGATAAAAATAATAATGATAAGGATGTCAGGATGGCATTGTAAAAAAATGCTGAACTTGGCTTCTAATCCTGACTCTGCTAACTCACTGTGGACTGAGGTTCTATAAAATGGCTTTTGTTCCCCCCAAACCCTGAAATTCTGTGCCTGAGATCAGGGGATCTCTAGTCCATTACATGTCTGGAAGCATATGATATTTTCTAAAGCTTATTTAGACCTACAACTTTCAATTTCTTTTTACTTGGAACTGATGACCCTAGAACTACATATTATACCCAATGAAGACCTAACCAGGACCTCACATTTATGTGTTAACAAATACACTTTGAGTCCCTATCTGGGTTATACCTTAAACCACAGTAATTGTTGGGCAGAGAAAACTACTGCTTTGCATGTTTGTCTTGACCAGTTTTCCCTTTTATGAAGTGAAGAGAAGCATCCTTGTTTCATCTACCTCATAAGGATAATGGCATGATAAATATATTTTTTAAATTTTTTATTGTTATGTTAATCACCATGCATTACATCATTAGTTTTTGATGTAGTGTTCCATGATTCATTGTTTGTGCATAACACCCAGTGCTCCACGCAGA